TACATATTCTAAAACGCCCCGGTATCCTCATGGGGTTTAATTAAGGTCATATAGGGAGGGGGAATAGGAAGGCTTACAGCCTAAGCGCTGAACCCTAAATTAAACAGTAACCCTAAACCCTAAATCCCTAACCCCTAAATCCCTAAACCCAAAACCCTAAATCCCTAAACCCCTAAATCCCTAAATCCCTAAATCCCTCAACCCTTACTATATAGGGTTTATCCCTCTTCTACTGAGGCATTCTGCCCCTGCTCTGGTTGGAGTCGGCTAGGGGCTTGAAGCCGCTTCGATGAGGTTTAGGGTTTAGGGTTTAGGGCATTTTAAAGGGGTATATGGGGGTATATAGGGGTATATAGGGTTTAGGGGTTTAGAGATTTAGGGTTCAGGGTTTAGGGTTTCGGGTTTGTATTAGGGTTATATATTGAGATAATGGAAAAGACAATGGAAACCCTAGGTCCCTTAAAAGGGATATATAGGGATCATATAGGGGTATATATTGGGGTTATATTATGGTTATATTGGGGCTATATTAGGGTTATATTAGGGCTATATAGGGTATATATTGGGGTTATAGGGTTTGGGGTTGGGGGCTTAAATGGCTTAGGGTTTGGGGCTTAGGGCTGTTTAGGGTTTACGGCTGTAAGGGTTTAGGGCTTAGAGTTTAAGGCTTAAAGGTTTGGGGTTCAATGGTTTATGTCTTGAGGGATTGAGGTGACAAGGTTTTAGGGCTTATGTTTTTGGGTTTTAGGCTTCTGGGCATGAGCAAGGCTACGTGAGGATATGTAAGGCTTCAGACCCTAAAGCCTAAACCCTCAATTTGTTTTGTGCTGAGGAAAGACGGATGACATGTGTAAGAGAAGGGGCCATTGCCAGTCGAATAGGGTACGCGGCACCGATGGAGGAAATTAACATGGAGGGCGAGGTCGAGATCCATGCCACTGAGGATGACGACGTTGAACAGTTCACGGAGGAGAACCGCAATGCAGAAGACGAGAATGATGAAGCGGCAATGATGCAACAAGCCAGTGTCTCCATGGGACAGCAGCAGACGTATGAAGACATGCTGCACCAGCTACTGATGAGCATGGACAGCGTGCCGAAACAAAAGGCGGCAAGACTTGCAGAATTCCTGCGTCAGCTGATGGTAGATCAGTGCAGACTTGCACCTCACCTTCAGCATCCTAGACTGGCTGACAGGTTCTCCAGGGCCAGAATTCGAGTACTGGTCCAAGGAGAAGGGGGTCGCATCATCAAGAAAGAAAACTGGCTGTTTGGTTTGAAGCCAGGTGAGAGGTTGTCGTACAATGTCAACGTGCATCAGATAGAGGAGGACGAAGACGAGCGTGACCCCAATGCGGGGTCTTGAATGGATGGAGCTGGAGGACTGGGTGAGCCTGCAGAAGTGGCACTTGGAGAAGAACATGCGGAGAGTGAACAGGAAAGTGGGCAACCCAGGGGTGAAGTTTCATCCAGTGACAGGGCTTTAACCATTGTCACTATGGGAGGAACATGATCTCTCTGCAGCTAAGCACTTCTCGGTGCTTCTCGGTGGACGAGGTTATGGAGACAGAGTTGGCCAAGAAGTTCTACAAGGAATGGCGAGAAGGCAGGGTGATGTGTAGACTTATTGGCCAGCGCTTTGGGTACGGGGTCCTTGGAAGGTTCTTGCGCAGAGGGATTTTGACAATGGAGTTTTCGACGATGTGCAGGTGGACCACGTTAATCCTGGCCCAGAACAGTTGAGCCAAGCACACGCCGAGGGTGAACACCAGCAAAGCCATGGAGTCAATGATCCTGCCCCGGAGGTGGTTGGGAAGGCGGACGTAGGTGCAGAGCATGGTTCTGAGCTGTCTTCGACTTTGGCAGAAGGAACAAATGCAGTGGCGGCTGAAGGAACAAGTGAGCGGACGGATGAGCAGGGGACGTAGCATCCCAATTGGCAATCTTCAATCCAGCCTATCACATTGGGTTACTATGAAGCCCGTTGTTGTGAGAGGAAGTGCAGCCACCCGTCAACAGACATTGCCACAAGGCATCGCCAGTCTAAACCATTGGAGAAAAGGAAAAACATTGTTTTGTGTGAAGGCTTCTTAGAGTTCAGGATGTTAGGGTTAAGGGTTTGGGTTGAAGGCTTCAGGAGGAGGGTTTCGGGTTAGGGAATCCTGAAACTCTAAGCCCTCAACTCCCAAGAACTGCCACGCTCAAAGCCGCCCAAAAGCCGAAAACGCTTAACCCTGAAGCCCTAATCCTCGAAGTCCTCCAAGCCCAAAACCCAACCCTGAACCCTAAACCCTCATCATAACCCCTATATATTAAACCCTCCAAGCCTGAACCCTAAGGCCTCATGTCGTCTTGGATTTTAGATTGAGCCCTGAAACTCTGAGCCTCCAAGCTCTAAGCTTTAAACCCTAAACCTCACCCTCCAAACACGAAGTTCCAAGGCCTCATGTGGTCTTCATCTTGGCTGACGATTACGGCTGGGCCAACATGGGCCAGCACCGCGAGCACCCTCAGGGAGCCGCAGAGGTGGCTTAGGGCTACGGTTTTTTGGGGGGGCTTCGGCGTAGGGGGTTAGGGTCGAGCAAGAAGGGAGTAGGGATTTGGGTTTTGGGGTCTGGGGTTCAGGGCTTGAGGTTTAGTTTGGTGGGTAGGTCCCGGGGTTTGAGGTTTGGGGTTCAGGGTTGAGGGTAAATGGTTTAGGGACCTCTCCTAAGCCCTTGAATCTGCTCCCCGTAATGATGACTCCCAACTCGCTTTCGTAGATACCTTCAATATAGGCACAAGATCTATGAACGGGGACAGGTATCAAGATCCAAATGCCCCTACACTTTCAACCCTAAACCCTCAGCCCTAAGCCCTAAATCCTAAACCTACTTTAGTGAATTTTCAGAACCAAAATGTTTGATGTGCTTCCAGGCCCAGGGTCGCTCCGAGACGCACACGCCCCTTGCATACTTTGAGAACCGCACGTAAACCCTAAACCTTTTTCCCTAAACCCTAGAAGGGGGTTCTTGGGAAAGAGGGAAGGATTGGGACTTAGGATTTGGGGGTTTTGGGCCCTAAGCCTTAAACCCTCAACCCGAAAACCGTGTCGGTCTAGGGCTTAGAACGTAGGGTTTAGAGTGTTTTTAGTTTTCCAAGCCCAGGCCCCACTTGGACCAGCTGATCCGAGAGGGCGTGCTTCTGGAGCGGCACTACGCGTACAAGGTGTGCTCCCCTTCCAGGCCAATTGGGCCCTAAGCCCTAAGCACGAAACCCTGATTTTCTTGTAGGGTGTAGTGCGTTGGTTGTTGGGTTTCAGGTTTGAGGTGTAGGGTGTCTCATAGAGGGGGCGCGCTGGTGCTGAAAGTGCGCAGACTTGAGCCGCGAACTGTATGATCCCACCCACGCTGGCGCTCCACCCTGGCCTCGACCTGTGCGGTTTTAGGGATTTCTCGAACTCTGACCGACTGGTTTCGTATTTGTTGTTGCACCTGTTTAGACCGGCCAGGTGCGATTTGGGCTGGGTCTGGATTGAGGCTTCCAGTTTTTTGAGCCAGCGCCTTGCTTGGAGGCCTTCGGGCCTTGAATCACGAGGACCTGTCCAGACCAGACGGTGCATGATTTGGGTTTGAATTTGGCTCGAGGCATCTAGTTTCCTCTGCAGGCCTCCTGGTCCCAAAATTCACTGGTAGAGAGGGCCTGAAGGGGCCCTGAGGCCCACCTGAAAACTTCAGAAAAGAGGTTGCATCACATGCTTTCGGGTTTGGGGGACCTCATGCTAAGGGCGACCTGACAGGTTACTCACCAGCGATCTGTCAGGTCCACCACGCAGCCCACAGGTGTCTGTGGGACTGGGAGCTCCGTCAGCCGCACGGCTTTTGGCTCTGGAGTTACCTCACCTGCCAGCTTCGGTGGGTTCGCCCTGCTTGACGCCCGGGCTCACCTAGTTTCAGGGTTACAGCTGTATGGTTTAGGAGGAGTTGAGTATTTATGGTTGGGGCCTTGCAAGCCTCCAGGGCAGGCTTTGTCATTCCGGGTAGTGATTGTAATTCTCTTTACATAGCTTCAAATAAAGGGGCAACCTAGGCGACGGTTACCCTAATCATCTTTTAGTATCTGTAATTAGGGGGGAACCTGGGGTGGGGCATAGTATAGAGGCGGGGTAGTAGGGGACCCCATGAGGAGAGGCTTGTGTTTTTTTCCGTGTGGTGACCGCCTTGTGCGTTCATCTTTTTGCCATCCTTGTTGTTTCTCACCTTACGGGCCTGCCATACATTCCTAAGCCCTACAGTAAGCCCTACACCGTGCAAATGGTGTAGGCATCAGAGCCAAAAACCAACCCATCATGTTCAAAAGTTTGCAATATACCTCAAAACCTACACTCCAAACGTTGGGCCAGAGGGTAAACCCTGAACCCTAAATCCGAGCCCCACCAATCCCAAGCCCCCAATCTCTAAACCACCAACTCAACCTCGCCTCTAGCTTTACAAAAGCCTAGTGCTAAACCCTAAGAGCCCTCAAACCCAAACGGTTTCCGCCTGAAGCCTTGGAGGTCTTCCCTTCAGACTGGTCGTTTGCCGGTGCACGTGAACACGGGGACAAACATGAGAGTGACCTACTGGAACCCGGAGGATCTGGGGTCCAATCAAAGAAGGAATGTTGCAAGCTCGCCCCTAAACAACCCTCATGAACTACCCAACAGCCCTCAGACTGCGTAGTCCTGATGGGGAACTTCAACAGCCCCCTTCATTCCCCTATGTCCCAATGGGCCTTCCCGATTCTGACAAATCCAAATCTGTGTCCCATTTGTTGTAGCCCAAAACTCAGGTGCTATAACTGCGACAGGTATCCCTGAAAGCGCCCCACTGTTTGCCAGCAATCCAGATGACCGACCCAGCGCCAGTCCGGACATTCTTTATGATCAGGGTATGCGGACTCCGGTGTGCTGACTCAAGCCTAAACCCTAAACCTTACACCCGGAGGACAACGTGTCAGGCTTTGCCGGTGTTCCAACCAACATGACGGGGCTTGCGGAGAAGATGCAGCATGCCGGCTACCAGACGCACCTGGTGCAGAGTTCGAAGCACTTTAGGGTTTAGGGTTTAGGGTTAGCCCAACCCTGAAAGCCCAGACTCTACACTCTAACCGCTACGCCCCGACTAAACTCTACACCCTAAATTCTAAGGCCCAACTCCAAAGCCTTAAAAGCCCGAACCCCAATCCTGAACCCAAATCCTTGTACAGGTGGGCAAATGGGACGTCGGGATGGCCACGCCCTTGCACACTCCGCTTGGGAAGGGATACGATTCCTGGCTGGGCTACTTCCAGGATGCCAATGACTACTGGCAAGAAAGCGTGCCCTTTGCATTAACAGGCAGTCTTGACATTTGCTTGAACCTTGGCTGTAAGAGATCTTTGCAACTCTGCGTTCTTATCAGGGTATATCCAAGGAACCTCTAGACAAATTTGACATTGCAACTTCGGCACGGAAGGAATAAGTTCAGAGACTTCTCCCTCTACAACAGAACGTACCGGGCGGGTGTCACAGAAGCTGTGGCTCGCGAGCTGGGATGCGATGCCAATGTGAGGCATGTACAAGAAAAGGCAATCAAGCCGCAGGCGGGAACTCGATGTGGTTGATGCAGGAAAGTCCGCACGTAGGACTCAGCTAGGGCGCCCAGGATATTGTACTTCAGTAAGTCACGGGGCCTAGGACCTAGGAGTTTAGGGATTGAAGGTGGTGCAAGACGTCCACATCAACAGTATCCCTGAGTCATCGCGATACTGTTCATGGAAGGTGTTGCAAGGTTTCATCCATGAACCATATCATCCGTTAACCTTAAAGTTTGAAACCTAAACAACCGTACACGTCCCCATGTAAACCCCTAGATCCCCTTGAAACGGACAATATGTCATGATACTATTCTCAATATCTGCTTCTCTTGGTTTTTAAGGTCGCTTCTAGAGAATCCGAAACATCCCTAGGGTTTGTACCTTCAAAAGGGTTTGCATAGGGGGGCTATATAACGGGGAAATAGGGATATGGGATGATATGGGGATATGTAGGTTTTCGGGATTAGGGTTTAGGGTACTCTACGCCCTAAATTGCTGATTGGGTGTCCGCAATATCTGAACCGTAACCATTAAACCTAGAATGTTAAACTCCGCACTCTAAACCGCAGATTGCTGCTTGTGGGGTGTGAATGATGAATGTTTCGCCTGCAGCCCTAAAGCCTAAACCCTGCGCAGGTCAATGCAACCGGTTGCAACCAGGATGATCCCGACTACTGTCTTCCCGACGGTTGCTTCGAAGAGGCTATGTTCAACCAGCATCCGGGCGCTTGCTAGAGCTCTGATGGCTCAGGGTTTAGGGTTTAGGGTTTAGGGTTTAGTGTTTAAGGGTTTAGGGTTTAGGCTTTAGGGTTTAGTGTTTCAGGGCTTAGGCTTTAGGGTTTAGTGTTTAAGGGCTTCTCGTTTTGGCACTGATTCTTGGCCGCAGCCTGATCTCAGACAAGACTGCAGTTCAGTTTGCTCCTTTGTCGGCTTGCAGAATGTCAGAGGCAGTTTCTTGCTTCATAGCTTTCACACATCACATGTCTCACATGGATACATATTTGTTAATGCTTTCCTGGGCAGGGTTTAGAGTTAAGGGATTGTTCCTACAATGCTGAACCTCTAAGCGCCCTAGTAAACCCTAAACCTAAAACCTAAACCACTAAAACTTTGAACCCTAAACTCTACACCAATCCCTAACACCCTTGACCCTATCAACCCCTAAAGCATTCAAGCACGGCATGCCTGACTTTGCTTGCAGGTATGCCCTGAAGATCATCAGGGAGCACAACCGCCACCAGCCCCTCTTCCTCTTCTACTCCTTCCACCTCCTCCACACTCCCTTGCAGATCCCCGAGTCCTACTTGCAGCTGGGCCCCACCTTAGCCATACACCTTAAACTCTGCATCCTAGCCCCTCAACCGTATACCCTAAACCTTCAATCCCAAACCCTAGACCGCCGATCCGAGACCCTGGACCGCAAATCCTACACATAAATCCTTATCACACTCGTTCAAAAGGCAGTTCTAACCCCAAACCTAGGTCCCAAACCCTAAACCCTTAATCCCAAAAGACTTAAACCCCAAAACCACCCAAAACCCAGGACCCCAAACCCTAAACCTTAAACCCCCAAACCCGAAAACCTTAAAATATTTCCCCTATACTATCGTAGTTTCCATCTTCTTTTCCATTGTCCGTATATATCCCTCATATACCCCCTACCCCCCTTTAAAAGAAAGCTAGGGTTTCCCAAGCCCTGAATCCTAAAGCCCATACCCCAAACCCTAAACCTCAAACCCCAAAAACCCAAAGACCCTTCAACCCAGGCATGAGATCGACAGCCTCGTGGCCCAAAGCGGGATCCCTCATATCATCCCGTGGACGCAGAACCGGAGGCTCTACGCCGCCATGACTTTGTGCCTGGGCTTGGGATTGTTTTTGGGTTTAAGGTTTAGGATTTATGGCTTCGGACTTTGTGCATGGACTTCCGATGATTTGTAATTGTCGTCGTCAGAGGTACAAGGGATTTTCCGGTGTGTGTGTTTTTTTTTTTTCCCTTGGAAAGATTTTGTATCCTCTTGGGAGCATATATATATGTATATGTATATCTATATATATATATAAGCATTTAGGATCCCCATGCCGGTTGGTTTGCTGGCCCCTTGCTCCGGGACCCTCCCCCCTTAACTCCCGGGCCAAAAACGGGTTTTTCAGCCCACCAACCCCAACAAAAACACCTTCCAACCTCCCAAACCCCCACACCCCTAGAAAGATTGAACCCCCACACCCAGACCTCCCTAGACGCCCAGACCTAGACCCCCACTCCAGGGTACAGACTTCAATCAAGCTCACTTACACCATCCGCCTTGGTCCCCCTCTTGCAAATAACATCTATATAATCCCAGTTTCCTTTTCATTTTCCATCTGCTTTTCCATTTGATTCTCCATTATTGGGGTAATACGGGGTACCATAAGGATTCCCATTTTAAACCAGCAAGTTGGAGGGTGGACACTTGACATTTTAGGGGTGTAGCGATGACTTCCTGGCTTAAGGTTCAAAGGGCCCATTCTGTGCATTGATTCGGCCTGTGTTTGCTGTTTTGGTGCTTAGGGAATTTTGAGTCAGCATGCTGACTTTGTCAGACTCTGGAGCTTTTGGAAAATTCAATGTTAAGGCTTAGAGCTTACGGTGGGGGAGGCGCAAGCCCTGCTAAAACCCGATGCCCAGGGATCGTACACCAAAGATCCTTCAAATTCTAATTCTGAGCTAAACACTAAACTGAAATCATAATCCTTTACTCTGTCTCAGAAATCCTCATGACCGCATCGTAAATCTCAGCCTCATACTTATAAGGTTTGGCTTTGAGACGCGCTAATTCCCAAACCCAAAAATCTACATCAACAAGCTTAAATCCTGTCCTGAACCATCAGCAGTTCAACACGAAATCCTAAACCATATTTTTTTGCCTGAATCCTAACCCGAAATCCTGAACCCACTTTGTTGCCGACATCCTGAGCTCTGCCCCCCAAGCCCGCATAATTCCCACATCCTCATCTAATATCTTACCCTCTTCCAAACAAACATGGAAACGCACGTAGTCTTTCTGAAGAGACGGTAGTCCTTGCAGGGCCTGGGTTGGGCATAAATGGACATGGGGAGTTCGGACTGTATCTCAGGTGAAGCTATCAGTTACCAGGGGCTAGACAGCGGGTTTTGTAAAAGGGTGATTAGGCAGCACTAGCGTATGTTTTCTGCAACTTGCAGTTCCCTCACGCACTTCAATGTTTTGCTCCTTACGGTCGTCAAACCTCGACTCTTCCACAAGCAATTCAACATGAGATGGCTGCGCTAGAAATATTCCCACTGCCTAATTAGCTAAAAGGGGAGCTTGAGCCAAATTACATTGTAAGAATGAATTGCCACTCGCACCTACACTCACATTGCAATCTACGCTTTTACACCCCCCACGTCGATTAGCAACTTGTTGTGTGAGACGAACCAACAGAAGCTCGGACTTTTACTCAATCCAATTCGGAAGTGTGCAATAGTAGGATGCAAGCAAGGCAAAGCGTCAGGGAAAACCCTAGAACGCAATTGTGAGATATCGTCAAGCACTCTCAGCGTGCGTCAGCGACGCAAAGAAGTATCCATTGCACACCAATACTGCGATTGAAAATGAGAGCATTGCATTGATGTTTCTCTCTTTTAGTCATCCACTGCGTCAAGATCAAAGCTTGGCGCATAAGTAGATCCACTGGGCGCATCATTTGTGATCTGTTGGAGGCCAGTGCGGAACAAAGATGTGTTATCACCCTTCGCCCAAGGGGAGGGCCAGCGAAGTCTCACTAGTGCTCGCTTGAGACTGTTGCTTTCCAACACCCTTGGCATCAACGCAGGAGGGACCAGCCTTCCTTCAGGCTTCAGGTTCTTAGTGGGACACGCCATCTTCAGATCATCAACATAGATGACAAGTAAAAGTTTCAGCTTCTTGTGGAGTCATGCTGAGGGACAGTTCTCACGTACAGGCTCAAAGTCTTTCTTCTGAACAGCTTCTTCGCAATAGGCTTCCCAACTAGTACCAGCATCAGGATGTCCATAAATAGCATGAGTGCAAAGCACAACTGGTCTTAAAAAGGAGTTATAGAGCTTCTTGTACTCATCGGGAATAGCCTCAGGGGGTAGCTCCATCCAACATTTGCGACCAAGGAGCTAGGCCTGTGTTGCATCAGCAGTCTGGCAACTATTGTCCCTCAAAGCTACCATAGAAATCGTGAGCCTTGACCTTTCTATGAGGATTGTCCTCATCCAAGATGTGATGTTTCTCAACCATAATGGTGTGCGCCCTGGCAAAATGGAATTCTTCCCCTGATTTCCCGGCGTCCTGTGCAACGTCATCCTTTTCCCTCATGGAGTCAAAAGTCCAGCGTCGCTTATTGAGACCTGACCATTCGCTCCTTACTGCTTCCATGGCTTTCGGATTCTCCAACGTCTCTTTCCTACCTACCGGTCTTGATACTAGGGCAAGCCTTGCGAGAATGGCGTCCAGGATGTCTTCCTCCTCTCTGGCAATCTTCTCGTTGTGCTCCTGAGCTGAGGCCTCGACGCATGGCGTAGCTGGAACAGCATGAGAGCCTGGGGACATACCTAGCAGGACTCCTTGTTGCATTGGTAAAATGAGTCCCAATCTCTTCAGGGTCCTTCGTGTGCCCTTCTTCGCTTGTCGGATACCGCGTGGAGTATAACATGCTACGGTCAATCTTTCATCAGATGCAGGTTCAACACAATGCCACTTCCTGCCATCAAAGGTCAATGCCTTCTCAGACACGTTGACTTGGCGACCCATCACCTGAGTCGGATCGTTCTTCACGGGCTCTCCTCCGGGATTTCTTTCTCTACGTTCCCCTCTGAATCTTCTAACCGTGTTTGACCACCATGGAACTTATTCAAGCCAATAACCGAGTCACGAGTGCCCTTGAGATTTGTGACATCTCGATGCGTGCCAATCTCGAGGTTCTGATTGATGGAGAGGGCGCTGAACTCAAACCCCGGTCTCTCCGCCCTAATCATCGAAGTGATCAACCTGGCCAACCATGGTCTTCCCTTTGTGCCATTTCCCTTTGTGCCATTGGCGATGCCCACTACACCGCCTTGATTGTAAAGACCGAACACCCAAGTATCTAAATACTCCGGTGCTGATTGACCTGCCACTTCGATCGTTCATTAGTTTTTCCGGGTCTTGAGATTGGCCAACTTCTTCGCATTCATGATTTCCTTCCTGGAGTGCATGCCTTTCTGATGAAGATCCTTAGCAAACCTCTTCCCCCTGTGTCAAACACCAACTTCCTCGGCTTCTGAGTCTAAAGGTTCGGCAACAGGTAGATCATCCGGCGAACATCCTGAGACATAATCCATGGGTTACGTTCATGGTCAGCATCCTCTGCGGGCGCCTGAGCAGCTTTGGGAAAAGGACCCTTCTTCGGGGATGGCTTTGTTTTTATTTTATTCTTCTTTTCAATGGCACCCCATGTACGACTGGCTTCTTCTTTCTTCCCCACGTTAGATCCCGCGCTGGGTTCATCAGCTGGGAGACCCAAGACTGATGGCCCAAATCCAGGATCTTCTGCAGCCAACTCACCACTTGCCTGATAAATCATAGCATCTGCGTCTCCACTCTCTTCGGTTCTGCTGGAGTAGCAGGTTCGAATTCCGAACCTGCAACATCTCGCGCATGCTCGAGTAAGCAGGGTATAGACACGTCTTGTGTAGGATCAATAAGTTGACATCTAGGGTCACCAGATATGCGATTGGGGATGTCATCTACAATGGCAAGTGTGACCAACTTCCTGCTCAGCATGATGAGATAAGGATGCTTTCCGGACAACCGCACGAAGTGAGATCCTTCATGCGTACATCTCCTACTGATCGAGAATGCAGCGGGAGTGTGAGGGAGAACATACGGTTCAACTGCTTCATCAAACTCCACAATGTTCATGGTCACAGCCACAACTTCCATGCCCTTGGTATTACCATTGGCGGCTTGGGACGGAGTGGGACACTTGGCCTTGGACCTCCTGAGCTTGTGATCTTCAACCTGAGCTTCGGGGGTGAGGTCTGATCCACGGAGATGAGGTCTGATCCACATCCTGTGTCCATAACTCATTGATGCCGTTCGTGACCATTGTCGCTGCTAATCTCCCCTACATCGGATTCGCTTTCTGACATAGAGGTTGCAGCCGTCTGATCCCCGCGGAATTCTTCCGTTATGATATCATAGGTAACGCAACACTTCTTCTTGTCATACTGAACAACCCAAGTCATTTCTTGTCCATCCCATGCCTTCTCAGGTTTGAATCTCCTCTTGTGCTCAACCTCATGCGTAAGCTCTCCGGCAGGTTGCGCTGCCTCTGAACGTTCTCGAGGTGCGCGTCCGTGGAGAAGACGGTAGCATCGCATAATCTGGGATCAGAATGTCGTTGATGGGGCCTGTAGGGACCCTAGGGCTTTCTCCATCGAGAGCCTTCTTTGATGGGAATGACATAGGGCTTTGTGTGTCTCACACCAGAGAACCTCACAGTCTTCTTGGGCGTGACTCTGATTGCCCGGGCAGCGGGTTTGTCGGACCTGTGTACACAAGGACACTTGTCACCCCTCTTGCAATTTCCCTTTGGAAAGTCAGGGCAAACTTTGTCTCCCCTTCCCTTTGGCGATGCACTCTTAGACTTTGGAGGACCATTCTTCTCGGCCTTGTCGCGCAGCTTCGTGTCATGAGAACGGGCAATCTTTCCCATTCTTGCAGTCTCGCTTCACGAGATAGAAGTAGCATGGTCGCTTCTCACCAGTGTTAGGAGATGTTGATCGAGATCCTCTTCCTTTTCGTTTGGGATGAGGATGCGCCTTGGCTTTCGCGTCAAGGACTACTGGAACCCCGGGCTTGTCGGGCTTGTCCTTCTTTTCCTTTTCTTTCTTTTCCGTTTCCTTTCGTTGTTTCTCCTTCTTCTCTCCTTCTCCTTCTTCTCTTTATCTTCCTTATCTATTTGTTTCTTCTCTTTCTCCTTCTTTCCCCTCTCCTGCTTTTCCCTCTTTCTGCTACTGTTGCCGGAGCTCCTGGCTTCGATGGGTTGGCAACCTCGCTCCATGCCTTTCCCTTTTCCTGCGTGTTCCTCTTTTCTCTGTCAAGCTTGATGCGTTTGACGACGAAGCTCATCAAAAGCTCATATGTCTTGCAAACATCAGAGTCCGGTAGCTGATCTTACAGGGAGAGGTCAAACTTCATGACTGTGGATTCCCGAGTCTTCTTGTACAGGATATCTCTAAGCGTGCGCTTTAGGGATGTCTTCATCTCGCATACCTTCAAGAATAGCGTGCCATTGCTGATAGAAGTCATACCTTCGAATCCCCAGGATACTTGAGATGGATCAGGTTGTCAATCAAGTACATCGTTTCCGCGTTGTCGCTGGACCGGAAATTTTCAAGCGTGACAGCAATCACATCCCAGCCGGACATTTCTTGGCGCGATGCCTCTGGAGCTTCTCCGCCTCAATGACTACTGTTCGGGCGGTGTCGCCTGCAGCTTCAACATGCTAGTCAAGTCAAGACCAAACACATCTTGATGTCAATGGCTCGGTATTCTTTTTTGACCTTGATCAACTCCTCAAGTTGGGGATTCGGGCTCCAAGCCGGAGTAACCCACTTAATCCACTTCTGATGATTTGAATCTCTTCAGGCGCGACGTATTCCTCATGTGCCAGCTTCTCTTGTAAATCACAAACCTCAACCTCTGCGTCAACTAAATGCCGATCATGTGCTTTGTTCCTTTCTCTCAACTCGGCTATCAATGCAACCCTCTCTTCATGTCCGCTATGTAACGCGTGTTGAAATGTTGTGCTTGAAGTTCCGAAATTGCTCTCCAGCGGTCCAACTGCTCAATCCTTTCAACTGCTCCTCTGCATTGTTGATCTTCTGCTTCGAGGTGCGCCCTAAGACCAGCAGTATCTGTGAAAGCCTGGTTCTGGAGTTGGCCGTAAGCTTCCCTTTCAGCCTTCAGCAATGAAACAGCTTGTTCGACATTCAACCTGCTAGCATCCTCATGTGGGGTTGTCGCCGGTGGACTATCCAAGCCAGCGTCCTCAATACTAGGAATAGCCAGTCAATCAGAACCATCAGTCTCATCCACATTCACAGATGTTCCCTTCCTCTTTATCAATCTTGAAATACTCCGGTCTTGAGCTCGCTGAACAGTCTCAGGACTCGACTTGGTCTTCTGCATGACCGATGTCCCGCGTCTCGGCGAAGCAATACCTCGCGAAGACGATGATACCTCCCTGAAAGCACCGCTCAGTAAAGGAGATCTAGGACGCCTAGAGGAAGCCGGCGAATTTTTCTCTCCTTCGGGATGGGAGTCCCAAGCCGCTCCGGATCATTCTTCATTGCAAGACCGCGCGCAAGTGCCGCAGGCACTTCTTCCGCATTGTCGCTCATAGAATAACCGAAGGTTGCTGTTTGATTGGTGCTAGCCGATCTGAAACTGCCATCCACCGAAAGAATTGTGGACTGCGTCAACAGCGCTACGGCTGCTAACCTGTAAAAGGGTGACTGGGCAGCAATAGTATATATTTTCCACAACTTGCAGTTCCCTCACGCACTTCGATGTTTTGCTCCTTGCGGTCGTCAAACCTCGACTCTTCCACAAGCAGTTCAATATGAGATGGCTGCGCTATAGATATTCCCACTGCCTTATCAGCTAAAAGGGGAAGCTTAAGCCAAACTACATGGCTGGAATGAATTGCCACTCGCACCTACACTCACATTGCAAACGAATTGGTAAGGGTGAAGGTTCCACGCTCTTATAGGTTTCATACAGGTGCCCATTCCAAGGTTGATTTAAAGGTATACAAGCATGAAAGCGTTCACCTTTAAAGGAGGGTCCCGGTTGGGTATTGCGTCTGAGATCAACCACATTCGCCTGCAAGGGCCTGTTCACTTCTGCATTTGACCTTTGCGCTTAAACGTTACAATTCCTCCCCACCCCACTGTTTACCCCGTACTCAGTTACATAGCCTGGATGCCGACACTAAGCGCATGCGAAGCACGCGCGTGTGTTCAGTATGTGTATACATATATATTGGGAGGCCCTGAGCATGAGGATAGCATGAGGAAGGATCATGTATTCAGCAGCCCCAGAAGTGTTTTTTAGGGTTTGGGGTTTAGGAGTTTAGGGTTTTGGGGTTTAGGGGTTTAGGGCTTAGGGTCTGTTGAGGTACATGGACAGCATGGTAGGCAACTTGATTGCTGCCCTCAAAGAGCGCCAGATGTACGAAGACACGCTCATCGTGTTCGCCGCGGACAACGGCGGTCCTCTTTACGAGCCGGGCTCAGCCAACAATTGGCCTTTGAAAGGCAGGCGTCACACGTGCACACCCACCCTAAACCTTAAAACCTAAACCCGAAACCTAAGCCCCCAAGCCAACAAAGCAACCTCATGGCTTCGAAAGCACAATCTGAAGCCCTCAGCCGTAAGCCCCGCCCTAAATCATAAATTTGAAGCCGAAACCCCAAACCCTACAGAGGAGGCAAGTACAGCGACTGGGAGGGAGGTGTGCGAACCAACGCCTTCGTGTCGGGTGGCTTCGTGCCCCCGGCGCGGCGCGGCGCGAAGTTCAGCGGTGTCATCTCCATTGCGGAGCCTCAGAGCCATATGAGCTATAGTCTAACCTCCTTGAAAGGGGATTATATAAGGGAGTATTATAGGGGCTATTAGGGGGGATACTCGGAGTTTAGATTGTAGCAAAATATCTTCAGAATACACCGTTTTGAGAATGCACCTGTTCACCTTATTGCTATTCTTCTTCTGCTATTCTTATTCTTCTTAAATTCACTAGTACTTCTGCAACGTGATTGCCACGAATTCATTGGCGTGTCAGTGTTGGTTGTGGTAACATGTTTGCCGCGACAACGATTCCTGTCATTATTGCCGATTATTACCGTCTTTCTTATCAGAAAGCATTCCTCATGGAACTCCTGTATGGTCTCCTTTTCATTACTTCCATTACATTCCACGCACACACACTCCACTTATTTCTTGTGTTTCGAACCATTGCCCCGTTGCCTGGCTTTGGTAGGTAAGTTCAGGGTCGGCCAGGACCCAAGATAAGGTTTGCGTTTAAGGTTCAGGATTCGGGATTTGCGGTCCACGGTTTCGAACCTAAACCCTAAACCTATAGACCCTAAACCGCGTAGTTGAGGGTTCAGATTTTTGGATTTTCGGGCTTAGTGTGACAGAGCTGCAAGAAGCAGAGGATGCAAGTTTTGCCCCCCCAAAACCACAGCTTGTTGCTGATATTAGAAATCTTGCATGACCTTAGTATATTATCATACCAGTATTTCCCAAGCTATAAGCTACTTGGGGTCATGCAGGATTTTTAGTATCCACCGTAGTAAGGGGATTTTGGTAACCCCACCGCCTGAACTTATAGTAAGGATCCTGCTGGAGGCAAATTATGATGGTCATAAGTACAGTTTTAAGTTTTAGGGTTCAGGGGCTAATTTTCAGTGTTGGGGCTACCCCCAATGCCGTGGCAAGTGGGTAGTTCCCAAAATTTTGGTCCAATGCTAGAACCCCCGGATGTTCGGTGCCGAAAAATAATCTACAACCAAAAGTAGCACCCTAAACCCCAAACCCTAAACCCCCAGTGTGTCTTTGCAGGATTGGTATGCAACGCTGTCCACCATCGTGGGCGTTCCTGTCCACGACGAGAAAGCGGAGGAGGCCAATAAGTACTTAGTTCAGAATGGCTTGCCCTTGCTACTGGGTTGCTGTTGAGGAACTTTCATTTAAGTCATTATTTTGGGGAAACCATTTTAATGTATATATATATATATATCTATATACCCATTATGGTATTTAAGCACTAAACCCCAAACCCTAAACCACACCCAGGTTACCCCCAGTGGACGGCCGGCCCCAGTGGGAGAACATCGTTGGGGACATCAACGGCCGGAAGGACGCGCTGCATCTTAGCCCGGAGGCCCTCCTGTGGCTGGGTTGCGGTTAAAGAATTTCAATTAAGATGCTATATTGGGAAACCGTATTATTTACTATATATACCCATTCCGGGTAGCTTAAATTAAGTCGCTTAACCTTAAACTTTAACTTTGTATACCCGTATATAATCCCATATAACCCCTACATAACCCCGATATAACCCTAAAGAACCCCCTTTAACAGGGATCCAGTTATTCAACCCAGGTGGTGGCCCTTCAAGCTTGTCACGGGCCAGCATTTGTACAGCTTCCACCAAGGTCCGGTGTCCCCCAACCGCACCACAGATGCACGACATTGGTTACATGCGTATGAGTTCTCCGTGGATGTTTCTGTAGTCTCCTTAGTATGATTTTGAGTTTTTATTGCAATATAACCCCGAGGAATTATTAAACATGTTACTTTAATGTAGGGATTATTTGCTTTTTTGTTCTAGTATAACCCTAAGGAAGTCTTAACAACGTTATCTTTATTCTAGGTCCACGGGGACTACAGGTTTTTGGCGTGCCCATCTACCGGGTGAACATCACGAACCAAGAGGAGCTCACAATATCCACGGACTGCGGCTACGGCGGCTGCCTCTTCAACGTGGAGCGCGACCCCGAGGAAGGTCAGGACCTTGCCACGGACCCGGCCTACTCCGGTTTGCTCTTCCAGATGCTCGGTACACCAATACAATTTATTTTCTCGCGGGTCTCCCTTCTAAAGCTGAACATCAAGGGAAAAGGGTACCTGCTGAAAGCCATCCTTCTTGAGCAGTCCATGTTTATGTTGCTACTGAGGCCCAATGAGCATGGTCTTGAGCATGGTTTTAATCATGTATAGCTGTCCCGTTCGAACCAGCAGGTTATGAGCCCAACGCTGGGCTATGGCACAGCAGGGCTTGGGACAAGCGTGTCCAATGTAACCCCTAGTCCACAAATTGCCGGCACAGAGCTTGCTTTGTGGTTTGCATCAGGTTTGGCTGCGGGAATGGCATCTGAGAACAGGCCAGTCTGGAACTGCAGAGCCGAATGAAGTGCAACCACAGGTTTCGACCAGTGAAGGCAGTGGGATTGCTGGTGCCTAAGTGTACAAATGCCCGGGCAAACGCTGGGTGGGAGCCCAGGTCTAGATACAGGCCTGTCGAGGGTTGGGGATTTTTCCGAGTAGCCCGCACTGAGGTGATGCAGCTTCCCGCAGTGTGGCAGGACTCACACGTGACACCACCACGAAGCACATCACAATCACGCAGTAGTCCAAGTCAGACTCCAGGGCATTTGGAGAAGGGAGCACGGGTTCGCATAGCAGTTTGCCACCCTCAGTGGGAATGCATGGTACGCCTGCTTCCTTTGCCTCGCTTCCCGCGCTTGCCGGGGGGGATAACTCTAATTTGCTCAGTCCGGACATGTTGCAGCGCATGCAGGCTTCAGAGCAAAGGGTTCCCCTACTTTATGGTTATCCACCTCACAAGCCTTCAAGTCGATGAAACTCATCGTCCTACCACAGGAAGTCATTCAGGCTGAGGTGGCTAGGCACAGTTGGAGGAAGCGGCCCAGAGAGAACAGGAAGTGAGGGAGCAGGTGATGAGAGAGGCCGCTGTTGCCAGCAGTGCCCCACAGGTAGCACCACTAGCCCGCAGAAAATCCCCGTGCCACTACAGGTAGCCCCAACTCAGGATGCTCAGGTTCCAGTGCCTTGCACGGATCCTCCCACCAGGGGACACCTCACGAGCCTGGTACTTCCAGGGCCGACTGCCCCCAGACATCCTACAACTGTTTAGCTCCAACACACCTTTCATCTACCTCCTGGAAGCATGGGTGGCCATCATAGCGCCCCTCATCTGCAAGCCTCTCATCGGCAAGTTCTACATCCCGTGCTGTGACAACGAGGCAGCACGCCATGTGCTCATCCAAGGCGTAGGAAAACACCAGCCTCTGGCCTCTGAACTGTTTGATAAGTGCTCACTGGACGTGGCACAACAAAGGGGCATGGCAGAACGCATTGAACGTGTTGCCGACAAAAGCAAACTTGTCTGACCCCATCAGCAGGTTCGAGCCCCTACTCCCAGGACTGTTCTGGTCCCAGGTCATCATACCCGACAGGGCCATCAACGAGAGGCGCCTCAACGGAAAGGTGATATTCAACCCGCCTCTTCACTCGGTTTTGAGAATATCCCCGGCCTGGACCTCATTCATAGGAATTTCGGTCCCTGGGCCTGACTGGTGTCCCGAGCTACGACGGGAAATCGAAGACCAGCGATAGGAATGTTCTATTTCTCGTCCGTCTCCGTCATACGAGACGCACCAAGGACACGAGAGGTGCACCTTGGATATACAGGCAAAGCACCAGGTGCATTTCCAACACAAGAAAGGGGGATTTTGCCACTGTCACAGACATGGTTGGAAAAAGCGCGCTCCTTGGCACCTCGGTTGTGTCGCAAAAATAGCGGGTTTGTTATCGCCTTTCGCGAACGAAATTGTCTTGCCTTACGTAATAAATGACAATTTTTTGAGCACCAAGCTAAGAACAACAAATGCATGCGGATTCCATGCTTTGTATATCTGCTGCCATTTTGGTTTGAGTTGGTGCACCTGCAAATTGGAACATTCGTTCCTTTTCTCACCCACCCTCCTCACCCTTCTGTCATTTTATGACCCGTATAGTTTTACTCACGTACATTAATTCTTTTCATCCATGTCTCACATGCCCCTGGAATGTTCTATTTCTTGTCCGTCTCCGTCATACGAGACGCACCAAGGACACAAGAGATGCACTTTGGATATACAGAATTATACAGACAGAGCACCATAGGTGCATCTCAGACACCGGAAAAGGGAATTTTGCCACTGTCACAGACATGGTTGGAAAAAGTGCGCTCCTTGGCACCTCGGTTGCGTCGCAATAATAGCGGGTTTGTTATTGCCTTTCTTGAGCAAACGAAATTGTCTTTCTATGTTGCTAACGCACATGGGTCATGCAGGATTTCGGTCATACACGCACGTAACCCTTTTGACCATTTTGTGGTAATCAATGTTAAAAAACCGGGGTTGGCAAGGATGGCTGGCGGAAGAAAATTGATGCAGGATTTCGTCCATCAACAGTAGTGAGTCGGCTTGTCAAGCTCTTTTCCCTTCCTATTGTCTTGTGCAGTAGGATAGGAAACGACTTGCTCAACGAAGTAGTGTTACAGGTCGCCATGTCCTAGCTGACTAGTGAACCAGGAGTGCTCAAAGCCATCCTTCTTGAGTAGTCCATCTTTATGTTGCATGCCATAGACGTTGTAACTTATAAGCTTGTAGTAGCACTCTTCTTTTGCACTGCTTGTAAAATCTCTGAATCTCTGCCTGTTGCGTGTGAGCCATGGATGTGTTGGGGGATGGTGCCATGGAATTAGCTACTCCACTGGTATTCTTCGTTCAGCCTGCTAGTTCACACCAGCAGTACCTTATTATTAAGGGGTGCCTGGGGAACTAAGGATGCAGAAGAAGCTCGACGACCTGAACGAATGCAGGCCATGTCAGATTTCAATCTTCACATGACATTTTTGTTTTGTTTTTTGATCTGATCTCATGAGCTTTTGCGGCCGTGTTTAGGGTTTAAGGTTTAGGGTCACATCCGAAGGATCAGGAATACTTAAAAGCTTTGCTTTCGCGTTGCAGAGTCCGCCGTTCTCCTCAAACTTTTATGCCATGTCGGAATTTGATATCGCAGGTAGTTGCAGGCAGTTTCCTAAAGCCTGACGGCTACAGCCCAAACCCCCAATCCCAGATTGAAAGCTTCACTCCAAAACTAAACCCTTAGCTCTGAACCTCAAACCTTATACCCAAAACCCCGAACCCTAAACCCTTGAAACCAAATCCCCATGTTAAACTTCCATGTTCCATACACCTTAACCCTAAATCCTTCCCCCCCCCACCTCAAACCCTTCAAAAGGCAACTTCAACCCAAACCTTACCCCAGTATCCGCTTCAAAGGGACTTTTTATCACGTTTACATCCCCTCTGAAAGCGCACTTATACACTAAACCCTATACCCCAAGCCCCTAAACTCTAAACCCTAAATACACTAAACCCTAAATACCTGAACCCCCCCCAAAAGCAATTGCAGGTAACTTTAACCCCAACCGCGGAAAGCCGGCAGTCGCAGCCTGCCTCCAAGCCGCCGATGTCGGAGGCCGGAGCCGACGAAGAGACGGGAACTTTCGGTTGAGGGGGTTTAGGGGTTCGGTTCGGGGTTAGGGTGCAAAGGGTTCAGGGGTGTTAGGGTTTAGTTTTAGGATTTAGAGTTCAGGGGGTAGTAGGGGTTAGGGCTTAGGGTGTCGGGTTCAGGGTTTAAGGGTATTAGAGTTAGGGTTTAGGGGTTGGGCTTTAGGGGTTGGGGGGTTTAAGGGTTTTTAGCGAATGCCCGCTTTGAGACTTTAGCCTTCCTTTCAGCTTTCTGAGTTTTCCGTTTCTTTCTAACGGTTTGTAATACAAAACATGAAATTTTGATATGGACATTGACGGGCACGGTCAAAAAATGATGTTCACAAAAAATGCACCACCTTGCACTCAACAATCTCGTTCCGACCCACCCTTAAAGGCCCCCTGTCCAAGTCTCGTAGGATTTCCCCTTTATACGTTTATACGTATGGGGAGGTCTTGCTTGTTCTACCGTTTGATAACGATAATTGGAAGCTTTAGTTTCCATATGTTTTATCCGTGTAGCCCATTTGAAGCTCTCCGGAGATTTTCCTTCCTTTCATGGTTGCGGATGGAATTTAGACATTGTTCTTTCTGTCGTTTTATGGCGATGTCAAACGGAAGGCACAATATCAAAATTCTTTTTCGGCTTTGAATCTTTCATTTGCTCTTGGCTTTCGCTTCGTGATTAGAATAAAGGGATGGGCTGCAGGTCAGACAGTGGCATGAAATCAGAGGTGCCGCTACCATTGCACACCGTTAGACTTGACAACCTACCAAAATCTAAATTGGCTGCCCACAACATGTCTACAAGTTAAGGAAAGCAATAATAACACAAAGCGTCGGCCCCCACTACGCATTTTTTAGGCCAGGCCAGCAGAAGTTGAGGGAAAAGGCGTGAAGGAAGGGTCTTCAGGGCGCTTGAGCCAAATGAGGCCTTTAAGCCCCAGAGTTCCTAGCCGTAAGCAAAACAATGCTCGCGATGATCAATAAAACCCTTAAAGCATAAACCCTAAACCCTTACAGCAAAAACCCTTAATCCTTACAGCCTAAACCTAAACCCTTAATCCGTGCAGCCTAAAACCTTAAAGCCGAAACCCTTAAAGCCTAAACTCAAGACCCTACACCCTCAAAGCCTTAACCCTTAAATCCTGAACCCTAAGCCTTTGAAGCTTGAACCCTGACAGCA